TTTAAATCTTTCTCCTTTCACCTTAAACCTATGCCATCTTGTTTTCAACTCCACTACTCTAGGGAAAAAACCTTTGCTATTCGCCTTATCAATGCCTGAAAAATTAACTAATCCTACAATGTCCTTCAGCAGGAAAGATGCCCAAAACTGCATTTATTTCAGTGAGCTATATTCAAGCTGAATAAATTCCTTTGACATGTTATCAAGTGTTTTATCATAGAATCATAGAATCCCTACAGTGTAGAAACAGGCCCTTCGGCCCAACAAGTCCACACTGATCAGCACAGCATCCCACCCAGACCCACCCCCTCGTAACCTACCTAATCTACACATGCCTGAACAATGTGGGTAATTTAGCATGGCCAATCCACCTAACCTGCAGATCTTTGGACCGTGGGGGGAAACCGGAGCACCTGAAGGAAGCCCACGCAGACACAGGGAAAATGTTCAAACTCCTCACAGACAGTCGCCCGAGGGTGGAATTGAACCCGGGTGCCTGGTGCTGAAGTTTGCATTTAGGGTTGATGTGTATATCTGAGGCCTGTTCCTGAAATTTATTCAAGATCCTGAATAGCCTGCCCCTAACAGCTTTACATTAGCTGAAGATCTTTGATAGGTTGTCAGCTGGATTCTCTCTATGGCAGCTCTCTGATCTTGGAATTAAAAACTGCGGCTTGAAACCATATTTGACATGATCTGGAGAGGAGCTGGAGTGTAAATCTGAGGGAGTGCTGTGACGTTGGTGTTTCTGTCCTTTTTGGATGAAATGTTAAACCCTGCTACTGCTGACCTATTCAAACAGAAGTTAAAGGTCCCTTGCTGTGATCAGAGGAAGAGAGGGAGGTTACCCATGTCTGGGGCCAAGTAAAAATAAGTTAATTTATCATTCATGCCAGTGCTACTGAAGTGTCTAAAACAGCTACCACTTTTGCTTCTGTAATATTACAGTGCAAAACAGTGCCTACAAAGTATTTTGAAGAGTTTGACAGAAGTGAAACACTGCTTCATAAATATATCTTACCTTATGGAAGATTGAATCCATCCGCTGCAGAAACAAAACACATACTTCTTATCCATTACCCCCATCTCTATGCAACCTGAAATCTGGCTTTCATTGATCTATATATTTAATTAGTTCAGCTTGCTGTTCCATTTATCTTGCAGCAACAAAGCTTACTGTTGCCAGAGTTTGTAATTGTAACATTACAAGAACTGCTACCATTTCTGTCAGCTGTGAAAGAAAAAAAAGATACAACACAAAACCTATACTTTTATTTCTGCATCTGCTTGCCCTCTTATACCACACTCTGTTGCTTAGGCCAGAACACTGTTTAAACAGGTTTAACTGGAAGATATCCTCAAACAATTATTAACAAACAAGACTAGATGAAATGGTTAATAATTTACATATATATTATATATATGATTATAATTATAATGGCCAATAATATGAACTTGGTGACCAAGAGATAGCAAAATAAATGCGTCTTGAATGTTGCTGCATCAAGAGGCTTTCAACATTGAAATAAAACAAACAAACAGTAGCAAAACATAGACTTAACAGAGGCACAGACATGCAAAAAGAGCTCAGGGGCACAAGGGAAGTAAAAAGATTTTGAGCAGGTAAGAATGGAGGATGTTACCATGACAATAGAGTATGGAGAACCAAGGACCAGCATTTTCTCCTCATTCTTTCCCCTCAACTATTTGTTGGCTGTAGATTTAAGAATGGTCCCTTTGAATGATGCTGATAGCCCTAAAAATTATTCCACAAAACTGAAACACAATCCTCAAGAAACCTGTTGTAAACTATGTAATGAAGAATTGTTTCCTTTCTAAAACAATAAATGTATCCAGTTAGTGTTTTAAAATACGCATTTCTCAGAATTGCCAAGTATTTGACTGCATCTGTTTTTGTTCCAACGCTTGTTTGAAAACCACTCCAATGATAATCTCCCTCCGTGCCAGCATTGTATTCCCCCCACTTCCCGGGCTGACCTATTTTGAATGCCCTATTGTGTTCATGGGAACAGGCAGCCTTCCCCATAATACCTTACCTAAATGACTAATCTGAAGCTCTCTAATAGCCAAGAGGCACTTTTCCACCCGGCATCGCTTGGTAATGAATGGGATCGGACAAATTCTAACAGTTAACCTTTGTAGAGTGAGATGCTGTGACCTAGACAACAACGACTTTACCCACTGACTTATCCACAGGGGGAGCAAGTTATGGAAATGTTAAATATAAAAAAGAAGAAAATGGCAGACAGCACCAGCACATACGTGGACACAGTTGAAACTGTATTATGTTGTTTTATTTGCCATTTTAAAGAAAGGCCTGAGCTTTATTTGAGCATTTCCCATTTTTCTATGTTATCTTTGAGTCAATAGCCTGGAATTCTTCACTTCAAGTCTGGGAGCATGTCAAGAACAATATTTTATCAAGCAGCAGTCCCCAGAACTCTTTTATTCTCCAGTGACCTCAAGTCACAAATTTAAATTCTGTCAACAAAGCTAATGGGTTGTATGTGTTTGCACAGTGACTATGTCATTGGACGAAGAAAGACCTGATCTCGAATTTGGAGGGACCTGGCATTTCCTCATTCCACAGACAACAAAAGGTAAGCCAGAAAGTTAGATCTTCATTCTGTTGCACTGGGATTCCTTGGGATGCAGGCTGGAAAATCCCAAAATGACAGCAGATTGTGAAGGGTGTGGAGGTGGGCCGTGGAGAATACCTGTCTCAATACACTAACACGGTGTTCCAATTTAATTAAAGAAACAAAAAAACAAAAGGAATCCCTCCAGGCCTCAACCCTCACATACACCTCATCTTATGCCGCTCTACCTAATCCATCGCCCCATTAGAACCCATGCCAATACATACCATAGCAGACCACCGTTTACATTTACAACTGCCATAGCAGCTCACTCGTATCTATCATGGGCAGACCTCAGGACTCATGCAAAGTTGAGAGAATTTTATTTTATAACTGCACCTCCCTGACCCATCCATTACCAGCAAGGTATGGGACCAAGTCAAGTTCAAGAAACACTCCCATGAATGAGACGCCAACCTGGTGAAGCTACAACGCAGGACAACAGGCATACCAGAAGCATTAAACAGAATAGAAAAAGAACTTGCTAAAAACAATCAATACATCTGGCAGCATTCCATGGAGACAGAAATCTCTATTTGATGATCTTTCATCTGAATGATTAGGTATATACATTCATGGGTTGTGGGCATCGCTGGCTAGTCCAGCATTTATCATCCATCCCTAATTGCCCAGAGGGCATTTGAGAGTCAAGTACATTGCTGTGGGTCTGGAGTCACATGTAGGCCTGACTGGGTAAGGATGGCAGTTTCCTTCCTTGAAGGACATTAGTGAACCAGATGGGTTTTTCCAACAATCAGCAATGATTTCGCGCTCATCATTAGACTCTCAATTCCAGTCTTGTTTTTAAAACATTATTGAATTCAAATTCCACCATCTGCCATAGCAAGATTCAAACTGGCGTTGCTAGAACATTGCCTGGGACTCTGAATTAATAGTCAAGCAATAATTAATCCTGAGACCAAGACTCTGTTATAGATAGAGCAAAGCAATCCCACAATGAATGGATTGTCATCCATCTTGTCATAAATGTTGGTCATTGCTGTGAATGTGGGTAATCCATCTCCTTGACCTAACTAGTCGAGATCACTAGAGTTGAGTAAACAATAAGAAGTTTATTGCTTTGCCGCAAACTACATGCAGGTGAGTTTTTATCAGTACTGTTGTTCAGGCTGGAAGCCCTTGTCAGTCCACTGACAGGATCAGGCTGACCCTGTGGCTAAGGTTCAGTATTCCATTTACTAAGCATGGCATTTTTAGGGGTAGATGACCACCAGCTGTCACCAGTCAGAAAGCTCGCCAGATCGAGCTCCACTTACCAACCCATGACCTGCCCAGTGAACTTCTCAGTGAATCGCAATCTGCGATACTGAAGTCCTAGCCCTCCAGAACTTGCTGGCCAATCAGTGGCTGGCAGCTTCTGTGTGCCTTAGATACTGTCATAGGAGGCCTTAGCTTCAGCAGTTTAATTGGCCGGGAGGAAGAGGGATATCGGGTGGGTTTGGAGGTAAGAACAGAGAAGTTGACCTTCAGTAGCCGACCTGCTGCACACATCCCTGCCTGTGATTGGCCCCCAGATTGGGGAAAATGGAACCCCCATTACTCCCACAGTGCAGCAGACAGGTTACACTGGCTTTCTAGTTGGGAAACCAATCACTTTTCTCATCGATAGCGAAGGCAGGTGGCACGTTGAAGCCCTTAAGTGACCTCTTTCTGACTTTAGTTAGTGATGTATCACCAATGGACCTTCTCACCCAACACTCAATCGCTGAGGTGGCGAGAAGTTTGAGAGTATCTCCCTGAGGTCAAGTCGCCCAATTACCTTCCCGTCTCACCACCTCCATAGATTGGTCAGTCATTCTGTGTGTCCATGTTTCTAATCATACTGTTAACTAGGCTAACCCATCAACATCACCAAGAGTGGAGAATTGAACAACCAACAAAATGATGAGGGCCCACAAATACCACCCCACCCCTCCACCCCCAACGATGGCAACACCAAGTCAGTGAGTGAAGAGGATCAAGTGTTTTCAACAATCTCCAGCCTGAAGTAATGCAAATAACCTTCTTCCTAATATCCTACACCACATCGCAACATTCCACACAATCAAATAAAAACTTTTGAACAGCAGTCACTTCTGTATTGTCAGAAACCAATTTGCTCGCAGTAAGTTCCCACAAACAGCAGAATGATGATCACTGGATGTCTGTCATTAGGCATTGATAGACAAAGAACATATTGGGTAGGACACCAAGAATGCAATTTACGCAAGGCATTTTAAAATAGCCCCTTCTAAAATAATAACACTTTCAAAGGTGATCTCTCCCAGATTGAAATTCTAAGAATTACCTTCCATTGATTTACCTCAATGAATAACCTACCATCCATTATTTCCACACAAAGTTGCAAGCCCAGATTGTGCTGTGGGTTTACGACCCAGTGATTGCTGGTAGCGGTGATATCAAAGACAAGCCATCCTCCATCAGACGCGCGGATTTTCTTGTCGTCCAGCAGAAAGAGGTCGGCATCTCTAGACGTTGGGAAATATAGCTGGTTATGAGTTTCATTGTAAATCAACAGATTGCAATAAGAGGTTACATTCATAGAACACATTTCACACCCTTTTCAGATTTGAGAGACAAATATTTCCTGGGACATCAGACCCATTTTCAAGCAACATCACAGAATCTTTTGCATTCATCTCAATGGGCAGATTGTCTCTCAGTTTAACACCTCATTTAAAAGTCAGAAACTCAGTTTACGTCAGTTTACAGAGTGGGGTTCAAAACCATTGCCTCCTTACCTGGAGACAAGAATACTTTGTACTCAGCTAAGCTAATACAACAAAGAACCTTTCATGCAATAAACATTGCAGATTCTGTGGCACGTAGGTAAATACTTATCTCAAGAAATGTATGAGAACACAACAGGTTACAAAATGTAATGGTGGATTGGAAACATTGACCCCCATGACATCATTAGAAATCATTTCTGGTAAACTGAAAGTTGGTGGAATTCTTGAGGTGGGGACACCTTCAAAAGTGCCCCTCACACTCCCCCAACCCACCCTCCCACCCCAAAAATAAATCTTGCTGTGCTTGGAAAGGCGTGCAGAAGATTTCATCAGTCCCCAACTGGAAGTGGCATTGCGTTGTAAGTGTGCCACAAATTGATCACTGCCTGGTTCTGTACCATCTTCGGTACCCACCCTCACTGCCCTGTCACCCCCACCAGTAATTTCAAGCGCAAGTTTCTACACTGGAGTTTCTGAAAGCAGTAACTGCAAATATTTTCTCGGCACATAGTACCCCCACTATAATGTGAGAAAAGCGTAAACAGCCTCCGCTAAAGATGAGAGCATACCACAGCCTAGGGAAGGGAATCATTTGACAATGTTATCAGTCCTGGTGTTACTCCGAGGCAGCTCGATGCTGATTACAGAACAGCTTCAATCCTTGTCACCCTGTAATTCTGCAAAGCTACAAATGGCCACACAAGGAGAACATTTCTCACCTCCCATGGGTGCATCTGAGATGGTAACAATCAGATAATTGGAGTGACCTTGACCTACCTCTCCCAGAGTAGTCAAATGAAAAGGAGCACTACCTAATAAATTATATTTACTGCTCTTTTTGGAGTCTGAAATGTGAAATGTCTGACTAATGGCCAGTGTGTTCTTTGAACTGCTGGAAAAGCTGTAATTAATTAGACATGTCTCCACAGATGGTTCTTCAAGTGTAACCACCTAAAATAAACATTCCTGATCAGGAGTGATTAATTGACTGTTCAGTGTAAGGTTTTTGACCAGTGAACGGCAAAGGCAACCGAAATCTCTGAAGTATGATAGTTTTGTTACTTAAGCTAAGATAAATGGATTTGCCATTACACTATCAGAATGTTTGATTCTATTGTACTTTGTTGTCCTTTCCTTAATATGCCAGCCTTGACAAGTGGTACAAACTTAAAATGCTCAGTTATTCACTTCAATATTAGAGATTGTTTTGCTTGTCGAGACTATTTGATCGAAACAAACATAAGTGAAGATAGTCAAAATGCACTGACAACTGCAGGAACATCAACTTTTGTAAGAACTCTGTGATAAAGCAATCTGTTGAAGTGCACAGAATGGCTCAGATCATTCGTTCACAACATGAGAGGTTCCAGCTCGGGATATTCCAGTACACTCCAGCTGGTTCCTTTCCCAAGGTGGACTTTGGAGTTATATTTTTGGTGCATATTAAGTTCTAATTTCAGACTAATTGGAAGATTCACTTGGTGTAGTCATAAGTAAAGCTGCTGGAGGAAGTGGAAGGGCTCCCACTCATGAAGTTGGGATGCCCTGGTGAATCTGTGTCTCAGCCACACAGATGGAGTGAATGCTCTGCTCTGCATCAGAATGCTATCACTGAATCACATCTGATGCTAACGCTGAATGGAAAAGAAGGGCCGCTATTTTGATGCCAACACATACACATTGACATAGGAGTGGTATAACCTGGAAGTCGGGTACCAGTCTGATTCCCAAGTGCACTGAACTGAAACAGTGCGGGGTAAAAGATAGCAAAGGGGGAGACTCCCAAGTTGCTCCCGTGTGTCTGTGGAGCCAGTTGCAGTGATATGCTCCAATAGACTCAAGGGGGACGCCTTAAAGTGGGATGACATGTGCCAGGGGATGGGGAAAAATCTAACAGAGAGAAGAAAATAATCTTGATTAACAAATTGAACCAAATTGAAAGGAAAATGTAGATATGAAGGAACACTCAGCAATAAGTCACCCCAGCATCAATCAGTATCCAGTCAGCCCTGAATGAATGTCTTTTCAATACAATTGTTATTAATGTTGATGCAGAAAATAAATTGTTGATCTCATGAAACATTCGAAAAGCTGCTGAAATTTTGGAAGGGAATTTTAGCCCCAATAAAACATGTGGGTTTAGGACAGGGTGGGAATTTAACCTTTGAAAAAATAAATCAGGATATTGATCCCCCACTGCTATCAGGCAGGTTGGTAGCTTGGATATTATAGATATTTTCTAATCAACCTGTTCAGAGATGTTATTATCCACCTCTGGTACAGGTAGGACTGGAACCTGGACCTCTGGGCTCAGAGGTAGGGACAGTACCACTGCACCACAAGAACGCTAAGTTTAATTAGTTTACTATGCTACAGGTCTTTCCACTCCCCATCATTCCAATTTCACTCTGGATTTGCTGGGCCTTGGAAAACAGCAGTTACAAACAGGTGAAAACTGTTGGAGAAAAATGTCTTTTCAATTACCTGCAGAATCCAACGTACCTGCTCCTCAAATCCTGTGATCAGACCCCATCTCACCCTACTCCCACCTCTCACAACCCTTCTGATTTCTCTACTCCAACCTCAACCTCTCCACCCAGAGGCTTCTGCTCGACTGCCCCTAGCCCTTTCACCATCAGCACCTGCACAAAACCTCCAATCCCCAATGCTCTGACCAGCCACATTCCAGCATCAGAACCTATCCCACTGCAGAGTTCAGATTCCCCACTCAAGGACTGGATGACCCTGCCAGCCCCCTCTCCTCCCACCCGCCCCCACTCCATTGCCAGAATCAGACACTCCACCCTCCCCCACCTTGAAATCCTCATGAGCTCAAATGTGCAGGAGTTAATTAGGGAAAGTGTTATCTCTTGCCTCTCTATACATGTGCTCATTTGCAGCTCCAAGGAGTGGTGATATTTTGTGTTGTGCACCAAGATTAAGGAGACTGGAGTATTCTGGAGTCACATCTTCTTTCAAAGGACAATCAGAGTAATGCAGTGAGAATTATAAATGATGATACATCAGGAGCAGCAACAGATGTTAAACAGCTAAAATGTTTAGCAAGTAATCATTTTACAAGCATTGATAACGCTCAAAAGCTGCAATTACTTAAGGACTATTCTGTAAATGTCCAGTCTAGCTAAGAGCCTCACTGCTCTTCAGAGATATGTAATAACACCACAGCGAAATTATCTTTGTTACAGCCTCACAAATACGCCCTTGCGTATGAAGCTGCATTAATAACAACCAGGCAATGAAAGACCTCAATACTCACCATTATGGATTATGTGAACATCTTACAATGGCTGTTCACGTTTGCAACTATTTCATTTTGAAATATGTTTTACAGTACTTGGTAGAATTCCTTTCTTTTCCATTCTGCTTTGGCATTTTAAATTATTTGAGATATGTATTAATCAAATAATTCTTCCAATATATAGTGTTGAACATTATACATTCTTATGAGGTAGCAACCATTCATTTTCTGTGGCTCCAGTTTCCCTTCTGGTTACTAAATCATAAGATCACCAAACAAAACAACCCAATTCTCAGCTTTTCGAGAATTATCACCAGTTAACATAGTTGGTAAAATAGCCGCCTTCACTATTTTGTACCTTTGATCACACAGAGAAGCGTTATTCAAGTATGCAAATTATTTTATGGATCTTCAAATATTAAATGGTAACCATTCAGAAAGCCAGAATTGTTTTTAATATTTTTAATAATATTTTTAATTATTGGTTGAATCCATGTTATAAGATGCTGTCATGTTCTTACCAATAATTACCATAAGACCTTGAAATGAAAGAGCAGAAGTAGGCCATTCAGCCCGTCAAGTGTACTCCTTCATTCAATGAGATCACGTAGTCATAGTGATATACAGCATGGAAACAGACCCTTTGGTCCAACTCATCCATACCGACTAGATATCCTAGATAAATCTAGTCCCATTTGCCAGCATTTGGCCCATATCCCTCTAATCCATTCCTATTCATATACCCATCTAGATGCCTTTTAAACATTGTAATTGTATCAGCCTCCACCACTTCCTCTGGCAGCTCATTCCACACACGCACGACCCTCTGTGTGAAAGGGTGCCCCTTAGGTCCCTTTTATATCTTTCCCCTCTCACCTTAAACCTATGCTCTCTATTTTCAGACTCCGCCACCTTGGGGAAAAGACATTGCCTATTTACCCTATCCACGTCCCTCACGATTTTATAAACCTCTATAAGGTCACTCCTCAGCCTCCAATGCTCCAGGGAAAACAGCCCCAGAGAATTCAGCCTCTCCTTATAGCTCAAACGATCCAACCCTGGCAACATCCTTGTAAATCTTTTCTGAACCTTTTCTAGTTTCACAACATCCTTTGTATACAAGGGAGACTAGAATTGCATGCAATACTCCAAAAGTGGCCAAACCAATATCCTGTACAGCTGCAGCATGAACCCCCCAACTCCTACACTCAATGCACTGACCAATAAAAGCAAGCATATCAAATGCCTTCTTCACTATCCTATCTACCTGCGACTCCACTTTCTAGGAACTATAAACCTGCACTCCAAGGTCTCTTTGTTCAGCAACATGACTGATCCACTTCCCCATATCCCCTGATTCCTTCACTGATTAAAAGTTTGTCTATTTCAACCTCTGTGGTAAAGAATTACACAGATTCACTTACCCTCAGAGAGATGAAATTCTTCTTAAGCCTCCATCTTAAAAGGACAACCTTTACCCTGAGATTACACCCTCTGGTCCTATACTCTCCCACAAGGGGAAATAGCTTCTCCACGTCTACCCTGTCAAGCCCTCTAAGAATCATGTATGCTTCAATAAGATCACCTCTCATTCTTCTAAAATTCCAATGAGTACAGGCCATTGATCTAACATTATGTAACAGAACAAAATAAATTGCATTGTGGCTGGTTGAATGTACACCATTTTCAAATCAAGTTTATAACCTGAATAAAAAACAACATGTACTATACCAATAACAGAAAGAGACAAGTCAGCCCGTTCTGTCTCTGCAATTCTGTCTTTATCCAATCAGTCCCATCAACCTGCATTTTCCCTGATAGACAGGCAATCTTGCCTTATAAAGGGCAAATTATGACACCTTAATAATGTGACTTTACTAATTGAATACATACCTGTTAGAATACTCTTTAAGAACTTGATATATAGTAATCCTAAAGGTGTCATTTTCATATCTACTGTTGCTTCGATCTTTGTAAATTCGGAATTCTGCTGCTGTTACTGCCTCTCCTTCAGGAATCTGTGTGAGATCAAATCGGAATTCCTTGTAGTGCCTTCGTTGATGAGAAAAATACTTGTCTCTTTCAACTGAGGTAAAGAACAAGAAAAAGAAAGAATGGTGTCACTTATGACCTTTACTTCATGTTGTGGAAGTAAAATTTTTCTTTTTACTGCTAAAGTAATTCACTTCAAACTCCATTCAAGCTATTTGTGCTATTTGAGAAAAACTCAACAAAATACTGTTAAACTCAAAGAGCAAAAATCCAAATAAGGGATAATATTATCCTGTGCTCTCGCTACATTTCATTTGAACTAACAGGCTGTCCATGAAGAAAAACCGGTTTCTGTCATTTTCAAGCCTTTTGGCATTTTATGAAATACTTCCAAACAAAATTAGTGGCATTCTTTAATAAACGGGGCAAAAGACAACCATCAAAGTGCAAAACTGATCCTTGGCCTTTCAGCATGCCCAGAAGATTTTCCAATGAAAATAAATTCATTACAATCGTCTGGGAATAAGGGAATCAAGCTGACAGTGTGCTTTGCCAAAACACAAAAATGGTCAGTGCCTCCATTCCATTCGATTTATTTACTTTTAGCAAAGAGTGATACAATTACAAGAATAACCATGGAATTTGGCTTTGCGTGAGGTAACGTAATCTGAAACAAGTGTACTCGCTTTCTATTCAATGGATTACACTGGAGGCATGAATGACAGTTCTCCATCATCACCAGGTACAATAACCAAGCCCAAACACACAATATAATTTTGGTCTTATTTACATACTGTAAATTGGCCAGTGACCATGTGCCCTATTTCATTCCTTTGGTTTGCTTCTGTTTTCTCAGCTTTCATCTCGAAGTGAAACATCTGGGGTACAATTGTGCAACCATTTTGGAACAAAATAAAATCATTTCAATGATGTAGAGGACTCCTGCACATTTGTGAATGTGAAGCCAAGTTTAAAATCTGAAAACAATTGAGAATCTAACTTCAAGTTCAAAACTGATACAAGACAAAAACTTCTCTTGAATTAATGATCAAAATGTAGTAATATCTAGAGTTTTAAGCCTGGGAACAGAACAAATGAATCCACAGTACAGATATCCAACAAAGTAGGGTTAATGTAAATATTCAATGTAATAAGACTGGGTTCTGACTTTGAAGCAGAAAATGTGGAAACACTCAACAGGTTTAGGCTGCATCTTGGGAGAGAGAAACAGAGTTCATGTTTCAGGTCAATGACCTTTTGTCAGAGCTGAAAGAAATCAGAGATTTAACGGTTTATAATCAAGTACAGAGCCAGGGATAAAATGGAGTTGGAAGTGGGAGGTCAAGACAGAACAGAAGGGAAGGCATGAGTGATTAATTAACAAAAGGGATGACAACACTCCTAAATGAGACACAAATGGAATGAGTAAAGAAATCCAGAGAAGCTCTAAATGACAAAATAAAAAAAGACAGGGGATAGAGGACAGGCAGGTCAGAGTGATGGTGGGATGGAGAATTATAATGACAAGCCACCAGAAGAGTCACATTTGTGGACCAAGTGGAGTTATTTAGCAAAGTGATCAAGCAATCTGTATTTGGTCTTCAGTGTAGACATGACCATGGCTGGAATTTTATGATCTCCTCCCCTGAGAGTGGGCTGACAAGCAGGTGGGCTGGGGTTTGGCATCAAATTGATTACCAGGGCAAAGGTATCAATCCAGCTGCCTAACTGCCTTGATTGGTAATCTCCAGTGGAGGCAGCATTGGGTGGTTTGGACCAATGATGACGTGAAGTGGCCAATTAATGGCCTCTAATGAGTATCTAAGGGCTACCACTGTAATCTTACCAGGTGGCAGATGCCACATGGCACAGCGAGGCTAGCGAGTAAAACCTGGTGACCTTTTCTCACACGTTGGAGTTGGGCATGCGGTGCAGAGTGTCTCCTGTTTGGGCATCTTTAGGTATTTCACCGGCCCTTTCAAACTCAATAATATATCCCTTCACCAAGGTCTAACCCCTGTGGAAACCCCTGGCATACCTGGGTCACCAGACCCAGAACTCTTCGGCATTGGGTACTTAGCGTATGTCTAGCAGTGGCCCTGCTATGAATGGAGAGCTGACAATTTTGTGGGGAGGGAGCATGGCCCATTGGCAAAAATTTCAGCCTATATCTTGAGCAGTGAATCACTAAACTGGAAGAAGTACGGGGGTGGTGTTAAACTTGAAAGGGTACGGAAAAGATTTACAGGATGTTGCCAGGGTTGGAGAGCTTGAGCTATAAGGAGAGGTTGAAAAGGCTGGGGCTATGTGCTCTGGAGCATCGGAGGCTGATAGACATTTAAATAATCATGAGGGGCATGGACAGGGTGAACAGCCAAGGTCTTTTTACCAGGATAGGGGAATCCAAAACTAGAGGACATAGGTTTAAGGTGAGATGGGAAAGATTTAAAGGGAGCCTCAGAGGCAAGCTTTTCATGCAGAAGGTGGTGTGTGTATCGAATGAGCTGCCAGAGGAAGTGGTGGAGGCTGGTACAGTTACAACATTTAAAAGGCATCTGGATGGGTATAAGAATAGGGAGGGTTTAGCAGGATATGGGCCAGATGCTAGCAAATGGGACTAGATTAATTTAGGATAACTGGTCGGCATGGACGAGTTGGGCCGATGGGTCTGTTTCCATGCTGTATGACTCTATGATATTGCCTTTTCAAACAGGGTGAGCATTTGGGGCTTTGGATGGTGAGAGGGGAAGAGGTTTATCGTGAATGTTTAACTTCTAAGACCATTTATATCTCCTGAATGGAAGGTCAGCAGCCTTTCTTCTCATATATTACAGCCACTGGAGTTCACAGGATATTGAGAGGGATATGCAAGACAGACAAGAGGGATTTCACAAAATTGATCAGTTTTTTTACATAGTTTTTTTTTTAAATTTGGTCTGACCTCAAATGAATGGGAAACCCATACATCTGTCAGAAAGAGGCAGAGATGACGGTTATTGAAAGAAAGCAGATAAATGTTTATTTTACATTATTCTGTTATGGGCTGGCAAGGTCAGCATTTGCTGCTCATCCTTTGGACAGAGTGGCTTGCTTAGCCATACTAAATGGGTGCTGATGGTTAGCCACATTACTGTGGGTCAGGAGTCACATGTAGGCCAAACTAGATAAGGGCATCAGTGAATTAGATGGGGTTTTACTAAAATCAATGGTAGCTTCATGATCGCAAGACCTGCTTTCAGTTCCAGATTCTATTCGTTGAATTTAAATCCCAACAGCTACCTTCAAACCCATGCCTCCAGTATTAACCTGGAACCGTGGATTATTATAGGAGTAAAAAATGTGAGACTGACTGGGAACACGTCATTGGGCATGTCTTACACTCGATAACAAAAAGAATGTTAACAGAAGCAGGGTTGTCTCCATTACAGCCTCCTTTCTCATTGATTCACCCTCAGTTTCTCACCAGGCAAGTGGTGGATGGGTTAGTCCCTCATATTGGGCAGCATGTGTATAGCGTGCAGTAAACTACTCCAATATACATACCCAGCTGAGAATGCCAGCTACTTTCCAAACTTAGAGTTAAGTGTGAGAAGCCATCCCATAATATGACCTGCTTTGCTTCTTCGTCCGCTTATTTAAATCAAAATCCTGTTTAATAACTTGTAATTACAGCAAATAAAATTCTTCTGATCAGAAACAGAAAACAACACACAAAGCTGATATGTACAGAAATTGCAGCTCCAATTTAATCCTCTTTTACTTTCTGACTCCTGTTCACACAGAATGACTACAAGATCAAACTGTTGCTGCTGAAGTTAAGGCACAGTGCATTTATGGTAAGACTCACTGGGATGGCATGATGGCTCAGTAGTTAGCCCTGCTATCTCACAGTGTCAGGGACCCAGGCTCAATTCCATCCTTGGGTGACTGGCTGTGTAGAGTTTGCATATTCTCCCTGTGTCTGTGTGGGTTTCCTCTCAAGTCAAGATGTGCAGGTTAGGTAGATTAGCCATGCTAAATTGTCCAGGGATTAGCCATGGGAAATGCAGAGTTACAGGGACCGGAGAGGGATGCAGGTCTGGGTGGGATGCCCTTCTGAGGGTTGGTGTGAACTTGATGGGCCAAATGGCCTACTTCCACACTGTAGGGATTCTATGAATGTGTGTTGGAGTTAATAAACACTACCTTTCAATTGATTTTTGTGATAGGATAAAGTTTGATTACTGTAGGATGGGAATTCCACTTTAATATTAATCACCTTTCTATGTCTTTCCCATTCTGATTCTACAAGTGACAGCAACTGGTGAATATTCCTATACCTGTTTCAAATTGACCCTCAAAATGCTATTATCCATGTGCAAGAGGGTTCAGTGTTTCACTGACAAAAATATAACAAAATATTGAAAAACAGTTCAAGTACACTACTGCCACATCAGTGGCTGATGCAATGTAAATAATTTTGCATGAACACAGCAGGCCAAGCAGCATCAGAAGAGCAGGAAGGCTGACGTTTTGGGCCTAGACCCTTCTTCAGAAATGGGGGAGGGGTAGGGGATTCTAAAATAAATAGGGAGAGAAGGGGAGGCGGATAGAAGATGGATAGAGGAGAAGATAGGTGGAGAGGAGACAGACAGGTCAAAGAGGCGGGGATGGAGCCAGTAAAGGTGAGTGTAGGTGGGGAGTTAGGGAGGAGATAGGTCAGTCCACATGTGAGCATTAATAAAGCATAAAGAGGCAATATGTTCCATAGTAGCTACCGCCATTGTCCTCACTTCCAGAGTCACTATGACAGTTAAAACCTTTGTATTTAGTTGCACCATTCAGCCACTGTCTGTGCGAGTACAATTCTTCCATCATGTTGATAATTCCTCTGGTCAGTGATGTGCAGGAAGCTTCCGGAGGTACCTTTGAGCTTTGAATCATGCAGTCGATTTACTCTGCTATAATCTTCTTGCCATTAGTTTTCGGCATGTTATTTGTGTCTTCCACTGTGAAGACCGACACGAAATAACTGTTTAATGTCTCGGCTATTTCCTCATTCCCAGCTATTGAATTGGCCTTCTCGTCCTCTAAAGGACCAATGTTTACCTTCGC